CTATAAACTATATATGTAAAAACTTAAAATATTTATACATGTAATGCTAGGTATATTAATAGAATAATTGAAAAAAAAAAATACGTTGGTATATCAATACATATATAAATGAGGTTGTCTTGAGTGACTGATTCATAATCAACGCAAAGCCAAACCTATATTAGAGCTATTTTTAATTAGACATTTTAAGGATAATTTTATATTATAATTTTACTGTACACTAAGAAAGGATTTTTAAAAATTTTAATTTTAAGGGGTTGACATCGATAACAACAAAATTGTGTGTATAAATTATATACCTATATACAACGATGAAGGAATACTTATAAGCTTTTAACTCACATTTTTAGGCTCTTCTTTATATGAACAATCTTATGTCATGCTCGAATGTCAGTAACCTACGAGTCAAGTCATTTTGGTACCAATTGAAAATACCTCAAATATAGTTTACAAAGAAGTCTTATCATAAAATTGTTGTCATAAATTATTATTTTTTATTGAATACAGATAAAAAATAAAAAATGAAAATAAATGCGGTAGATCATGGTGGGGCGGATTGACAAGTCATAACGTATGATTAAGAGAAATGGGAGAAGTTAGATTGGCGTTAAAGATCATCGATGGATCGTAAAACCGGAAAACAAAATTAAATACAGATTCAAATTTCGTGGGAAAAGCTGTGATAGGTAACCCGCCAATAATATAATATAGGCTATGTACTCAATTTAATTTATTTTTTTTTCATTTGATTTACAAAAATGCCTTTTTAACATGCACTCCGTAAAAAATACAATAAAATCGTCAATGTGTACATCCAAATAAAGTTTATTTTATTTAATAAGTTGTTTAGAAAACAATTTTATTGTTCAGTTTAATCTACCTGTTACATTGTCTTATTGACTTGCTAACAATTGAGATTTTTTTAGCCACCATGCTTCATTTAAATAATATTGTAGGTATAGATGTACGCTCTTACATAATCATAATATTATTAACAACGATATCGATCGAATAACGTAGAGTTACATTTTGATGGCAATTTGGATTATTTTTGAATGAGATGAAATATTTAATAAAAAACGTTTTTTGATGACAAATGTATGTATATAAAAAATAACCGTAATATAGTAGTTTAACAGATTACCTCCTCTTGAAATCTTAATCCACTATAATGCCACGAATTAATTTCTGTCATATAATACTTATTTTTTTTTTAATTTAGATTATTAAAAAAATAAAAATATATCAACCAAGTACAACATACGTTATCAATCGTTCAATTTCGTTATCTGCTTACTTTTTTAACACTGCACTTGTCCGATAGGTGTATAGTATGTGAACGACCCCACTTGCAGTGCAATGCGTGTGGCACGTTCTTACTATTGTTATTGAACACAACAATGCATGACCGTAGTAAATACTGTTCGGAAACATTATTTTAAGTAATGGTTATAAATTATTCGTAAACCATAGGTATACATAATATTTATTATATGTATATTTGTCCTTGTAGGCATAGTTTTCAAAGACAAATAATAATTATGTATAGTTTTTTTAGTATTAGGTACAAAGGGCAGAGAGTATTTAAAATCATACGGGTTTAAATTAATTATTTCGAGATGTAGGTTCTATCAATATATATGTAATATGTATATATACGTGATTTAATTGTACAATGTTTGCTTTATCGATAACGTATGTTAATCTACAATACAAGTAAAAAAAAACTAAATAGATATATAATATGAACGATTTAGGGTAGCTTCATAAAGTCAATCCATCGAAATATTAAAAAAAAAAAATAATAATAACGATCCTAGCAATGAAAATAAAATACCTGCTAAGTATAGAAATAAATCTTATATTGAATTATAGATATCATGGAAAAATTACAGTTATATCGTGTTGATTAATTTAGTATAATATTTCAGTGTACATGCATGTTTATATACATTATAAAAAAATATTAAAATGCGTGCAGAAATAGAATTTATTAACAATATTAAAATCAGAATTTTAATTTAAAAATAAAATAATAAAATATTTGATAAAAATATTATAACATTTTGTTTTTTTGTAGAAAATTTATGCATTTTAATTTAAAGATTGAATAATTAAAATGATTTATTTCAGCTTTAATTTAATGACTATCGAGTGCATACTATAAAGAGCGTAAGCCTATGCAATTAAGACGTCACGATGATATATTTTTAATGATGTGTGACTTTTATAATTATTTATAATAAATTATATAATATGTTCTGTGAATCGCATATACGATCCTGATGGGATAAGGTTTATTCCGTAGTCTAATAATAAACAAGTAGGAAAAAAATCACGAGAAGAAAATGCATAAAAAAAGAAAAGTTTTCTGACTTTTTTGTCCATTCAACGTAGTCGTATATTAATACAGTGAGAGAATAAATCGGGAGAAAAACTTTGAAAAATTATGAATCCGTTACCAACGCTTGCCAAAGACTATTAAAATTAGCATTTAAATTAAAAATTTTTCGTTCACTCTTTTCATCCAAAAGTTATGGACTACTACTCGTTTTTAATCTTTAAATTATAATTATCTGCGTCTCGTAGAACAAAACACCGATGCAAAAATATTATTAGTCACTCCACCACACTTCGCGATAAAAATTGAGTTACGTCATAATATAAATGCGTCAAGCATTACAATAAGTTATGAGCTGGTGTCGTCATCACGTCAAATATAGTGAAACTTTGTGTTAATTCGTTGTAATATTGTGATGGACGATTCTCAATTCATCAAAAAAGTAGCTACCGTTCAGTACATTCCGAAATAGTATATCGATAATACAAATATACCTCAAAGTATTTCTCCAAAATATGTATAATAACGCCGGCAAATCGTTTTATCTTTGGACATCGGTTGTACGGTAAAACGTGTATTGCCCACGGCAATCGTAACAGCAGGCAGTTGGCCAGAAACACTTGATTGTATTTTTTTTTTCTTTCAAAGTCTATGCACGAATTGATGTAAATTTTTTTTTATTTTAAAACATTCTATAGACAAAATACAGTTTGCCAACAAATACACAATGGTGGTACACATTTCTCAGTCGTAAGGCTCTAAGTTAAGAATTAATTACACGTGTTTAGACCGATTTACATCTACGATAGCCTGTAGTTGGGTTTTTTTTCGGGTTCTTCACACTGGTAAAAATATTTGGTTAGATGTACACAAAATGTGTAATATTACTTCGTACAATCGACTGTTGTATAAAAATTAAAATATTTATAGAACCGGAGTGCTGTCGTTGAATATAGTCACTCCACTTAAACGACACGACTGTCAATTTCAAATTTTATCTTTTCAGTTTATTTCCCTGAGAACTCACAGATTGTTGAATAACTCGAATATCAATTAAAAAAAAAAAAAAAAAAAAAAAAAGCAATATACAATCATTATAATAATAATTAATATCAATACCTACTGTATAGTATAATATTTATATAATAATAGGCTGGTACTCGTTTTTTTTTTTTTTTTTAGCAATGTTTAATCGTTGAATTAAAATAAGCTAACTATTTCAGTACTCTATTCAATGAGCTCTAGCAGAGCGGTTATCTATTTTCCTTTTTTTTTTAAATTTAGTAATCAAATAACATGCTTATTTTATTAATAATCATTCATGAACAAACAATTCATCTATACACTCAAAACTATTACTTTTGTTTTGTATTTATATATTGTATTTTAAGCAATACATTAAATACATTTAAAATTGAGAAATTTATAAAAAAAAAAAATTTAATAATGACAATATAATAATACACTTCAAGTGTAATTTGATTTATTTTGAAATAATAAGAATTATTTTCATTTTAAATCTAAGATATAAAACACTTTGAACAACATTATACTCCAAGTTATTTTTTCTTTCTAATATTTTTTTCTTGGTATAGATATACATATATACACATTATATATATTTTAATATTATGTAAAAACAACTATTTACAACTAAAACTCTAAGAACATTTTACTTTAATTTCAATTCACCTGTGTATATTAAAATATGAAAATAATAATTTACTTTTCCTTTTGTTGGAAATCATTCAAATATGTTTTTTGATACTTTATACTCGTAGTTTATACCAATTGTTATGTTATTTGCATTTTATTTTTAACGATTCGCCAATATTTTTAATGAAATTTTCATTATACTCATATATTTTTATTATTCACAATTTTTTGTTTTCCTTTAATAGTAGTGTATGTATTATATATTTAAAGAACAATTATTTTTACTTTAGCTATGGTCTCCGTGCTTAAAAATGTTTGAGATCTCAGTGATAACTTTTTTTTTTTTTTGTGAAATAGAAATTAAGATTAATTAGATATTACAAGTCTATACTTAGTTTTCATTTTTACTATACGAAAATTAAAAGAATACTTTTCAAAAAAATGTTGTTAGCTTAATTTTTTTTTCTTCATTACCTAAGAAATTAATAATGTTAAAACCACAAAATTTTATCTAATTTCTGAAAAAAAAATAACCACAGATGAAATAAAGTTTAAATTGTTTAAAGTGCTATAAATGATCTAAACGTAGAATATTATAAGAGTATAAGACGTATTTCGGTTTGGAAAAAATACATTTTGGACTTTAATCGAATTAAACATAAAACCACGTTCCCAATAACTGGAATGTACAGAAATCGCAAACGTATGATATATTATTGTCGTTTCGGTAGAAAATTTGATTTATAAAACCTGTCACATCGATGTACGTCAATCATTTAACACCTGGCGAGTTCGTGAAGAAAGCACAATAGTATAAAATTTCTCAGACTGTATTATATTTATTCGGTTTTACTTAATCGCCGTTGTCCGTCCACGGTGAACCTACGCCTGTTGTAGTACACTAATGCTACGCCATTTATAGTTGCCAACTATTGTGATCGTTTGAATTTATTTTTATTTTTTTATTGATTTTAAAAGATAAATATTATACGTTTGATTCCAGGTGGACGTTTATCGTCGTCTATGCAACGCTGTGCAGGCTCAGTGCAGCCATCGATGGGATTTCAGATGAACCATTTGTGCCAGGTATGTACCTACGACATGAAAGCGTTCTTCTCCTCCCCCAATAAAAAAAAACAAAATTAAAGTACAGAAATTAACACATTACTACGTCGATTAACAACGATGATCGTATTAAATTCTATTATTCGAGTTTTCATCTCGTTACATTACAACAGCGTCCTATCCTGGAGGATTCGCGTAAAAGACATGGGTGAGTATCGGTGTGACATGCAATATCGTAATCGGTCGACGACGCAGTTGTTATTATGATATTATGAGCTTTTGTTACAATAGGTGGTATCACGGAAACTAAAACATGCGCCCTCGTCGTCATGGCAACCGCGCCACGTGCCATGTACCGTATCGTTATAATATTAGGGACCAGATTATATTGTAAAGTGTATTGTCTTCAGGTGCTCTAGAACAATGCATCCGAATCGCATAGGTAATTCGTTTCATGAAACAGATATTTCGTGGGGGAATTTTATATTGTGTATGTTTTCCTGTTATATTTTTACGGTTGTGTAACATTTTATACATTTTTAAGGTATACTCGTACATAACACGCATTTTGAATGTGAATCAGAAAATAGAAAATCAAGTAATAAATAATCGTATTTATAATATTTACTCCAATACTTTTTAGGTATTTTTATCGATTACAAATGTCAACATTATAATATTACTTATGAATGCGATAACGTATTTACACATTTTCGGTGTGTATATAATTACACCGGGGCTCAAAACAAATAACAATTAATTGGTTACAGTGACATCTTGATTGCGCATCTATTTCGAGTATACCGTTTATTCATTGTGCGTGTTCAAGAGTCAAGTTTGATAATTTGTTTTTATTATTATTATAAGTCCAATTGAGATAAAAGACTGTGAAGAATGTCGTAAATTAACCCATCGTATATTTCTTTCGCTTGCTTGTCTCTTGTCTTTCAAAAGAAATTTTGTAAGGGTATTATCAAGTTGGAGATCATTTTACAAGCCATATCAGTGATATTTTAGAGCGCTTTTTGATATTATCCGGGGCACTTTAAGCTATGATATTATTATTATGTTATTGAACTCGACGGAAACGTTGATGTGCTTGCCGGTTTTCTCTATTATCGTTATCATTATTATGTTTGTATGAACATTACACCGATGTATTTTCTGTACAGTGAGTCATCGCACGATCTCTCTGTATGAACATAATACATTAAAGCGTGTATTTGCGGGCAATTATTCAGAGGTAAGTCTTTTGATTTAGTGTCATCTGCCTGGTGGAAACACCCGAACGTCTGCTGTTGGCAAATATTCAACCTACCCTCCGCTGCTGATATCTATTATTATTATTATTATTGTTATACGTGTACGTACATTATGCCGGTCTAAAACAAAATTCGTCGTGCGTTTGATGTAGTTTATTTATACGGATTCACTCCCATTATCGCACCGTCAATATAGTATTATAATATATAATATAATAAAATATGTACGAGATAATCTACTAAACGTGATTAATTAAATGTATTTTATTTAATCCATTAAATCCGTTACATTGATGTAACAAAATTCATTAACGGTTGATAACTTCGACAAAGAGTATATAACATCTACAGCTATCAAATACATAATTAATTAATAAATCAATTGATTAATTTTTTTGAAATTTTCGTCATTCAAATTTGAAACTCTTATTAAAATATGGAGAGTCGAAAACCTTAATTTAAACGCTTTATTGTTTTAAGCAGAAACAGTTATCATTGTTATACTAGGTAATTAAAAGTTAAGTCGATTGTATCATAATTTATTGTAATACTGCAGTGATGAATTCAGAATACGCAAATATATTGTAATTTATGAAACATTGCCACAGGGTTTTCTTGGATCATTGTACATTTTCTGTTTATTTAACAAATATCACAGGAAACCAAGTACGTGCGTTTTAAAATCAACAAACGATTCCGTTTATACCCGAATTGGTTTGAATAATACCGCTGCACTCGTTTAAGACACGCGATTACATTATAATATTATATATACGAGTATATATATATATATTCCCCGAAAATTGCACAAGCCCCGATTTTCAAGACTACTATTCTTGGTATGGTAGTCACGTGTTCAAGGCTTCATCGCTCTTTTTATACAGAGTGATTCACCAAGCATGCTCACTTCTATTTTAACATTTATTTAAATTTTGGAATTTTTGGGTGTATTTAAAATACCATAATATTATCGAATGCTAACATTTTTTTATCGTTTAAAGAGTTTCCTGTAATGTTTTTTTTTTTGGAAAATGTTGTTATTTCAAAATTAAAATTAAATGCAAAGTTTTTGAATTATTAAAATTAATAAATTAAGGAATATTATTCCTTGAGAATAATTTTCAAGAATATAAAAGTACATGTAATATTTAATTCAGTACTTATTACATTTTGGTCAATTTTCGTACATTTTAAAAAGTTAATACCTAGGTAAATTTTTATCATTATAATATTATCACAACCCCCAATATATTCCACATATCTTCTCATTCTATTATCAAGAAATTTAGAATACATATTTAAATAAATCAATAACTACTTACTTGAATTTTAATTTGGATATATCGATATTTTGAACAAATTTACCTGCTTAACAGTTTATAGGAAAAAAAGATAATTATTCTTACTTGGGAAAAAAAATGTTGGTAACACATTTCTTAAAATGTAAATATTTTAAAATATTATTAATAAATATATAGTTATATAAAATATCGGTATATTACTAGAATTTTAAAAGATTTGCGTAATCACCTTAAATAAAGCAATATTATCCACGTCACCATCCCTCTTACCGTTGATCACTCTGTATAAACGCCTGAGCTGCGTACATTCTACACATATTTAACATACACACAATACATGTTTATAATGTACTATTACCATGCCAACATATAAGTCAACAATGTTTAAGCTTACAGCGTCAAAATAATATTATAAAGAGAAAAAATGATGAATTATCAGATATGATCAGTCAATAGATCGACTGTCGTTTAACACCAGATGCCTCGTCGTTAAGTCGAATATTGCATTTCGATGACGTATTCTGTAACATGCTTAGCCGAATCAACACTTTTGTCATTATTTTCTCTAAACGGCGTCCCATTTGTTTTGAGAAATATAATATGTATGGCGAAAGTCTGTGGTTTTAGAGAGCCCGATTTATGCGCGGGAATCCCACTGGAAAGGTCGTTAAGTGGATAATACCCGTAATTATTATTCCTCCGTTTACATTACTGCCGAGGGATGCGTTTGAACGATAATAATAATTATAGTAAAAAAAAAAAAAACGCTCCTTAACTCTTAAGTATAATATAATAGAATGGTTTTTATCCGAGGCGCTTTCAGCCCTAGTGCGTGTCATTACTTTGGCGCAACTTTTAAACCCTTTGCAGCGTTTTAATGCTGATCACATTGACGCAAATCACAACCGACGTGCTCTGATCCATTCGGGCTATGACCATGTATCTATATAAATGTATACATATATTTTTACGGTAAAAGGTTCCGATGAATCCTGTAAAATGGGACCATGTAGAAATCCTATTAATATTTTATACGCGTTTCGACGGAACTACTGAAATTGATTAGCAATTAAACCGATCATTAAACAATTTATTAAATAGCAGTACAATCAGTATAACAATCAGTTATTATACAAACGTATGGAATGACCTCAATCTCATTTGTGTGATCGTTCAAATTTATGCCTGATTGGTGATCACGTGTAATTAACACGCTGCGATAACGCCATATTATACAAATTAATTAAAATACAATTTTGCTTGAATAGGTATGTATAACTATAACATCTGAATATAATTTTTTTATGGTTTTATTCCACTCGATTTGATTATGATATATTTTTAATACTTTCATCAGATGCCATCATTTGTATTGTATTATATTTTGCAACATATTGTTATGAAGTTCATATATTCATATATTTATTAATACTAAATAATTCAAAGAGGTTAATCAATTTTTATATATATATATATATATATATATATATTAAAATAAGACAATAACTAAGTTTTACAATAATTTTATTATTTTAGTAATGTTTAGAAAAATCGCAATCAACTGAAATATTCTAACATGGCGTTCCGTGTATGCAATAATGATACACGTCAGTTGGAAAATCAAAAAAAATGTCTATAGGTTGTTCATCTCTTACCTAAAATTGTTATTAGACAAGTACTCTTATTGCTTTATTTCGTTAAGGTTAACAAATGAATATTTTCAAGTTACGGATGAATAAAGTTTTAAAAAAATAATTGGATAACAAAATATATCAATACGTAAAACATTAAACCAAATATAAACTGACTTATCTATTTGTCAACAAAACTCTTTTTATTTATATGGAAAAAAATTCCTTATAAGACTAGTATTTTAAGCCAATACATTTTTATTATTTACTCTGTGAATTTAAAATAATCGTTTATCTACAATATTAAATTAAAAGTAAGCTGCTTCAAATTTCTACTATTTAGAAAACGGGAGTTTTTTTTATTTAAAACATACCATTTAATATAATGGATATTTATACATAGTTTATGTAATTATGCTTATTCATTTTTTTTTTTTTTTTTTGTTCAATCTATAAATATCTTTTTACAATGAATTATAATGAATAATGCTGTTTAACAGGTTTATATGAAATAAGCTAAGATATATTAACTATATTTTAAAAATCTAAAATCTTGAGTAAAAGAGCTATCCTGTCATGCGATTTCGTGAATGCTTATTTTTAAAAAACTATTATAGTAGTAAAATATATGGCTATTAAACGCATATAAATTGCTTTCGTTTTAAATACAAATTCCTATAAATAATAATTTAATTTACGATGCTTACTAATTAAAAGGAAATCTACTGAAAAAATTTAATCATAATTGCATTTCTATTTTTAAAATATTTACTTTAAATAAATATAAAAAATTATTAAAAATTATATGTTTAAATTATTTTCATCAT